AGCTTTGCAAATATTTAGAGTTTAAGGGGTTAATCTACCCTACACTAGTAAAAACATAAAAAAATTCGTAGAGGGTGGAAAAAAATGTGTAACAAATTCATACTTAACTTAATATTAGATACTAATATAAGAAGTGCTATGAACCTATAGCTTTGCAAATATTTAGAGTTTAAGGGGTTAATCTACCCTACACTAGTAAAAACATTAAAAAATTCGTAGAGGGTGGAAAAAAATTTGTAACAAGTTCATACTTAAATTAACATTAGATACTAATATAAGAAGTGGTATGAACGTATAGCTTTGCAAATATTTAGAGTTTAAGGGGTTAATCCACCCTACACTAGTAAAAACATAAAAAAATTCGTAGAGGGTAGAAAAAAATTTGTAACAAGTTTATACTTAAATTAACATTAGATACTAATATAAGAAGAGCTATGAACGTATAGCTTTGCAAATATTTAGAGTTGAAGGGGTTAATCCACCCTACATTAGTAAAAACATTAAAAAATTCGTAGAGGGTGGAAAAAAATTTGTAACAAGTTCATACTTAAATTAATATTAGATACTAATATAAGAAGTGCTATGAACGTATAGCTTTGCAAATATTTAGAGTTTAAGGGGTTAATCTACCCTACACTAGTAAAAACATAAAAAATTCGTAGAGGGTGGAAAAAAATTTGTAACAAGTTCATACTTAAATTAATATTAGATACTAATAAAAGAAGTGGTATGAACGTATAGCTTTGCAAATATTTAGAGTTGAAGGGGTTAATCCACCCTACATTAGTAAAAACATTAAAAAATTCGTAGAGGGTGGAAAAAAATTTGTAACAAGTTCATACTTAAATTAACATTAGATACTAATATAAGAAGTGCTATGAACGTATAGCTTTGCAAATATTTAGAGTTTAAGGGTTACTCTACCCTAAATTAGAAAAACATAAAAACCGTAGAGGGTAGAAAATTGAATTTTCATATGGAAATGTGTAGATTTAACAATTATCGCATCAACATAGTAATCCTTGCTTGAATAACGTTCTCGAAGTTTTGATTATTCCAAATATACTCGTCGCTGTTCTGATGACTGTGGCGTTTTATTTGCGGAAGTCCTTGATCGACGTGCATTTCTTGAACGAAATTTTCTTACATTATAAAGAAGGCATTGTACAATAAACTCGTCGGTTTTGCTGATACAGTTTTCATTTGTAAAAATGCTTTTCATCTGTACTTCGTTAGTTATTGGACACATTTGTACGAGTCCGCGTTGTATGTGCTTTGCTGTGTTTATTTCTTGTTAAGAATTTCCTATTAGTGCCTAAGTTTCAATAATTGTAAAATGGGGCGCGGAAGGCCAAAAAGCATTTTATTTTCTAATAACGACGTCTTAAAATTTTGTAAAGAAAGAAATGTTTCTACGGACGAATTGCTTAAGTGCAGTGTAGTGCGCCAACATGATTCATTGTTAGGACATTTCTGTGAATTTTTGCACAAAAATAATACCTACAAGAACCGACTGATTATTTATATGCAACTAAAAAGACAATGTTTGAATTTAGAAGCTAATTCCGAAAATTTATTAGAGCAAAAATTAGAATATGTAACGACGTATGTAACGACACCTATAGCGACACCTACCCCCACGCAGGTATAACCCTAATCCAAACAAGTATGGACCACTATCTCCAATAACCCTCGCGATACCAACACCCACGCAGACGGGGGCGCCACACGAAATACCAACACGTGAAGTACCAGTCAGCACAAAATAAGCCTACCCCGGAACAATCCATCATCAACGAAGAAGCAATCGCATCCTTCATAGGAACGTTAGCTCAAGTAGTTCGCGCTCAGTGTTGTTACGGTGTCCTTTGTGAACCTATCTCGAACCGGCTCTGCAAGCACGCCTAGTAGAACCACCGGACGGAGACGATAACTTTATAGTGCGGTGTGAAATTAATGACTCTTTTTGATTCTTGTATATATATATATGTGTGTGTAAATTGTACCTATAAGGACAATTATACGCTTGTACATATAGCTAGTTTCAATCCACGAGAACTTGCACGCATCAAATATAAAAATTTTGTAAATAGTAATGATGAAGACATTTTTACGAAAGTGGAAATATTCGCAACCATAAGCAACATAAAAGAGGAATTGCAAGCAAATGAAGACATCGGCGTTCCAGAAAAATGCATCGATTACTTAGGTGATGGCGAAAGTGATCAAGTAGAACTTCAAAAAGTACACAGGAGTAACAAATGGTCCAATGCAGAAAGTTCTATGGTATCTACATTTACTGTTAATGAAGACGAAATTGCAAAAGAAACACTACCCACGAACAAGACCACTGTTAATGAAGAACCAAATGCAAAAACCGTTACCGATAAATTTATGCTAATGGAAACGCTGCAAATTCCAATAAAAGAAGAAATAGATTTAATTACAAATTCCGAGTTACGGCATAAAGTTCTCAAAAAAGAATTTGAAAACAAACTAATTACTTGCGTACTTGTCTTCAAAGGTTGGAGATTAAATTTAAAAAAATCATGTGAATATAGTAGTGTATTAATCGAATATATAAAATGCAAACACCTTAACTGCCGCTTTTATAAAGTGAGTTATGTTTTTGGCAAAAGTGTTTTAAATGTGAATATATTTTTTAAAGGGCCTCTCAATAGTGTACATGTAGGGCAACGTGCGTACCAATTGAGAGGTTTGGAGAGAAAAGAAATGAAAAAAAAGTTATTACGTTCGTTGCCAAACACGGAAAGAACAAAAGCCGTTCACGATGCTGAAGAGGATTTGTTAATGGATGGAAACTGGCAAGGAATTCGATCCTTGTCGGTTTATCAAAAAGCAAAGTCCGAAGCACTTTCTGAAGAGGATATGCATCCAAATCCTTTTATAGATTTGCTATTAAAATCTTTATCTGAATATACAGATGAAAAATATATACAATACCCTTCTGGAAGGACATTAGTGCATTTATATTCCAAACGGCAAATTAAAGTGCTTTTCAAGAAAGGTGCAAAACTAGACGCATATTTTGACGCAACAGGTTCCGTGGTTCGTCCCAACAAATGGGAAACGGAACAAAGGGTTTTATATTATGCTTTAATAGTGAATATTAATGGCCAAATAGTTCCAGTGGCGGAAATGATATCATCAAGGCATGATGCGGCCACCATTACAAGTTTTCTGGTACAATTTAAATACTTTGTAGAAGTGAAGTGTAGAAAATGTTGGCCCATATTTCGAGTAATTGTTTTAGATTGGAGTATGACATTGTTTACTTATTTAAAAATTTGTTTTACATTTGTAACAAACATTTACAGTGATAATAAATTTGAAAAAATAATAATAATTAAGTCTTGTTGTGCTCATTTTATAAAAATGGTGTCTAATAAAATTGAGAGTGTCATAAAAAACAAAACAGTCAAAAATACATTACTTAATGCAGTGGCAGTATTGTGCATTAGTACCTCTTTAGAAGAACTGACGTACAATTTTGAAAACGTGGCAATTCTGTTATTGTGCCCCATACACAACGACGAGGTGAAAAGCGCCCTTGAACACCTATATTCTGTAGAAGGTGAAGATCTCCACAATTATATCCTTAACCATCGCATGTTTATGGATGATTTTATCATAAAGCATTTTAATGAGGAACAAGTTCGTGGTGAATATGTTGAGTCTCCATTTTTTATTTATTTTTTTAAAATCTATGAAGAAATTTTAACAAAAGTTAGCAAAATCAATGTTGATCTCGATAAAGACGATTTAAAAAACCCATATAAATCAAGTGACTTGTGCCTATATCTTTTAAAAAGAATTATGCCGTTTGCCCCATTATGGAGCGATATTTTAAATATAGGACGATATAGTAACGCCAATGTGGAATGCTGGTTTAAAATATTAAAAAAGGAAGTTTTGGAAAATCAAACCAATATGAGAGTAGGGCGCTTTATTCACTTTTTAAAACAAAAGATTGACGCTCAATTAAAGAAGATTGAGTTTGATATCGGAGTTGTGCCCATGAAGGAGCGCTTAGAAGAACCTTTAGACACGACCACAGATCTTGACAATCCATCTGTTAAAGAAGAGTGGAGAAAAAGAAAGAACGAGAAAGGATACTTTTATGGCACGTATAAAAAGAAGATACGCACAGTAGAGAAAATTGTTGCAAACAGGGCAACCGTCGTGGATGCATCATTAAAAGCATTTCAACAAGAGCAGACAGACAATAGAACCTTAAAAAATGGATTAATTTTAAATGCTGAATATTATTTGAATAATAGCCGTAACAAAAAGGAATTTGTTTTCGGAAAATACAAAAAAAAACAAACTATAACCCTACACAGTTCGGATGTAGATTCTTTAATTTCAGTGTTAAACATCGTAGATAATATTCCCGATGGAGCAGCACGATGGCTAACAGATTATTGCATCGATGCCGCTGCTTGTGCCTTAACAAATAATATTAAATCAGTGTATTATATTGACACTGTTTCTACTTACATATTATTTAATCAAAAACCGCGCAATTTAAATAAATTTGACCCGTATAATAAAAACTTGGATGGTGTAAAGTACCTACATTCTGATGCCTTATAATGACCGACAAATTCATTGGATTTTAGTTTTATTAGACATAGATAAAAAAGTGTATATATCTTAAATCCCAGTGCAACGTATGCTGTGGAGCAAAACCATATTTTAGAAAAAGTGAAAGATTTTTTAAGTGTTAGAGATAGGTTAAATAAAGTTTATAAATTTAATATGCGTAAATGGAACATTGTAAATACACCGAAACTTCCACAACAACAAGATGGTGTAAACTGTGGTGTATATGTGATTTACTATATACAATTGTTAACACGTCAATGTGACATTAATA